AAATGAGGGACCTGGGACTGAGCATTCTAGGCCAGATGATGTAGAAGTGTGCAGGCCACAGTGTGAGAAAGATGGGCATTTCTGAGGAGTAGCAACAAGCTCGGCATTTCTAGGGTGGACTGCACAAGGCAGAAATTGGCGAGGGCTGAGGATAGCTGGGGTCCATAAACCAGGGAATTAATTCTGTGAGATACAAAGGAATGATGGACCCAATTTGGATTTTGAAAAGATCTTTTTTTTTTTTTTTTTTGGTTTTCCGAGACAGGGTTTCTCTGTGTAGTTTTGGTGCCTGTCATGGGTCTTGCTCTGTAGACCGGGTCTGGCCTCGAACTCACAGAGATCCACCTGGCTCTGCCTCCCGAGGGCTGGGATTAAAGGTGTGCACCACCACAGCCCAGCAGATCATTGTTCTTAAAGGACAGTTAAATTCCCTGAGAACAGGAGGAAGGAAACCAGAGGGACAGCAGAAAAGTGCCTGCATGAATCTAAACATCAGGCAGCAAGACCTTGGATGACAGATTCAAGATAGAACTTGCTATTTGGGTGGAGGAGAGCACAGGAGAAGACGGAATCGAGAATGAGCTTTGCCTGGGGCTTGAACCACTGGGTAAGTGTGTCTGTGTTCCTCAGAGAGATGGTAAATCTTAGGAAGGAATTGGTCCTAAGTGGTGGAACTGATAGATTTCAGGTGTGTTGGACCCCTCTATTAGAGATTGGAGGTTGTGGTCTGTCAGAGAAAGGAACTTTAGGAAAGGCTAGCAAGACCGTTCACTTAAGGAGCCAGCAAAACATCCATGGATGTCCACTGTGTTTTCTATCTCCTGATAGGAGGTCTGAGTGTCCAGCTTGGCTGGGGGCCAGAAGATATTTGAGCCCACTGATGGGGTCTGTATCATTGGAAGTGACTCACTCCAGCAAAAAACAGAGTAGGGGAGGATTTGGAACACATTGGAAGGGATTTTAGTAGCTTTCGTAAAACATCTGGCCCAACGCCCATTTGGGCATTGCTTTGCCGAACACCTGCTCTCAGTACAAATACCTCCTGCAGAAAGATGCCCGTCCCTTCTTCCCATCCACCCACCCAGAACACCTGGACCCGTCACTGACGAGCATTGGCCCTCGGCCCCCCTTCATTTATCTTTCCCTCTCTCACCCCCATCTCTCTTTAAAGTGGATTTCTTTAATTAGACTTAAAATAAGAACCTTTGCTGAATGTCTCCATGTAGGTAGCTAAATAAATAAGCGCAACTGTAGGAACTAAAACCTCTCCACTCCCCACACCGAGTTGTCGCTGGGCATGCTGTCTGTTTGAGTTATATCATTGTGCATATTGCTTTGATAATTCTTAGGCAGGGCAGAGCCACCATCTCTGAGACTGTATTTAGGAGTTAGTGTTCCATGGAAGGTAATGAGAGACAAATGGATCTTAAAAGTATGTCATAAAAAGCCTTTTAAAATATGTGAGCTTCAAGTGCCCATCTATAAAGCTAGTTATTTAAGAAGGCTGCTTTAGAAGCAGTGTTGTGAATTGGTGCAGGCCACCAATAATCTATAGATTTTTAAATTGTTCTGGTTCCACACTTGTTAACAGCGTCTCTGCTGTGGAAAAACAGTTAAGAAATTGACAAGAAAGGCAATAGCCAGCCCTCTCTCTACAGACCCATGGGCTCTAAATAAAATGGTTGTCTTTTGAAAAAACCTCATTGAGTCCCGGATTGATAGAAACAGGCACTGCTGTTTCACTTCCAAAACAAACCAGATAGACTTGTCAGGCTTTTCTGGATGGAGACCAAAGACAAAGAACTTGGTTCTGGGACTGACTTTTGTGTGGAGAGGGTAGCGCCTTGAAAATCTGTGTGAAGTCGAGGCAGCACTGAGAATCATAGTCACACAAATAGCAAATGGGTGGTTCCGGGGCTGTCTTCCGGTATGTGGCCAGACAGAAGGAAACAGCTTACGTGGCATGCAAGAGGGGAACAATGGGTCCCTGTGACCACCTCTTTGACTTCTAGCTCCTGCCATTCGCGGGGGGGAACGTGGCCTTGGAAGCAGGTGGGACTGCTGTTCTCGATTCTCTTTTCTAATTACATGAAGTGTGGAGAAAGGATATTGGAAACAGAGACCCAGCTGTGCCCACTGCCAGTTCAAACACAATGAGGACAAAGGACTCCAGACGCAAAAGGGAAGCGGTTTTAATCTCAGGTGTCTGCACTCTTCTTTCATTATATGAAAGGGAGCCAGCAGCAATAATGGGAGAGACATAATAAAATGAACGGGTCCCCCCTCTTGCAGTGACTCCTGCCACCAAACCTTGAATCACAGTCAGTTGAGAAAAGAAAGCCCACAGGACAAAGAGAGGAAGATGGAGTAGGCAGCTAGCTAGCTGTAGAATTTAAGGGATGTAGGCAAGGCAAATTGGAGTAGGGCCTTTCCTCACGAGGCTGCATGGTCTAAGTCAAAGAGAGATGCTAATTCATAAGGAGAAGCAACACTCAAAGAAATCGTGGTATTTGCCTCACAATGAAGTGAGCTCTCACCTGTTCCTCTTCCCTAATCTGTCTCTCTTTCCTCCACACAATGCTAAAAATAATTCCAGTGTCTGATCAGTTGTGAGCTGTCCACCAAAGTGATTGAGGAGCTACTATCTCAGGGCAATAAAGACAATTCAGGCTCTTCTCTCCATGTGTCTTAGATGCTGTGTGAATGACAGAACAAACTTCCGAACACAGTAGTGCAGACCCATGTTGTTAAGTTACTTCAGTAGCTAAAGTTTTGCTGATTACATCATGGGCTATTTTTAGTAAGACTTCTCTGTAACCATGGAGACTGCTTTTGCTGAAAACTCTCACACTATTTCCTTCGAAATTAGCCATGAAGAAGAAAATCTTTGCAGAAAACTAATAAGGAACAAATGAGTTAGATGCAAGAATAAAAACAAAAGCAACTTAGTACTCATAAAAAGGTTTACATTCATGTTGACAGCTGTACATTTATTTGGACAGTTACCTTCTGTAGACCTGTATTTACACATA